TTGTTCTTAAGACATTTAAAGGTTTTCTGGAGAAGTTACTGAGTTTGGTTATTTATAGTATGCTCAAAATAGGAAGCAAGCTCCACCTAGGGACTTACTATAGTTTAGTTTTCCCTCCTAGCTGTCTTCCCTCTCTTCCTTCCCCTCCGTCTTGGTTCTGCTTTCTCCTGTTACCCTTAGCATATTTTGCCTATTTCCTGGTAGATTACTCCAGGTAACTTTTGTCAGTATGTGGAGCACTTGTGATATTATGTACATAGTTTTGTGTGCTTTTTTGTAGGTAGGAGGAAACCTACCACGCAAAACTTCTTCCTTAGAATTCCTTTTGAAAAGTTTTAAATTCCCATTCTTACTATCACCAAAAACAGAGGTTACTCTTACATTTTTTAAGTGGTAACTTGAATAGTCAGTGGTAGAATCAGACAGGAAGAATTTGAATATTTTCAGAGAAAATGTGCTTTCAGACCAATATGCTAAACCACAGAAACCCAGAGTTTTTTCCTTTGAGTTGTGCATTACTGTTTGTGCTTCTGAATTGAAGTGAAACAGACTGTATTCTATAATATCAAGTTGTAAAAATGTTTCACTGTTTTCTTTCTCAAAAAAACTTTTGTTTATAATGTTACAGTTATATCCATTCATAGGCTTTGGGACTCTCTATGTGATAGTGCACAGTAATCATAGGGCAAATGTTTCTTTGGAAGCAAAACAAATAAAATTCTTCTATATCATCTTTGAATGTCGGCTTTTTCTCAAAGATGCTTGTCATGTACCCTGTTCCCTTTTATAGTCGCCTTATCTTAGAAATAAGGAAAGTAAGACTAGTGATTTTTACAGTTCTGGAAATTTGGCTTCAATTTAATAATAAGTATTGATTGAGAGTTTGTTATATACCAAACACCATACTAGGCGATTATATGGTGCCCTTACAAAGCCATTTGAAGTAGTATTAAATCTCACTTCTCAGAAAAATAGGGAAAATCATCATTCTTTGTGATATTTTGTGATCATCTCTGCTAGGAGCTCTTCTTTTCAATTTGTGTATTTCTGGATAAAGAAACTCAGTGAGAACTAATGGGAAGAGCACAGATAACCAGTACTAACAAGAAATTTTAGAAATTTGAAAATAACAGAAATACTAAGCAATAAAAGCAAAAGCAGGCTCACCACAGTAACATAAATGATAGTACCAAAAGGAACTCATAGGGATCCAAATATACTAAACTTAGTATGTTGTTTATTACCTTTCTCCAGTGATTTTCTTAGATTTCGATATAATTGAAAATATTTAATCAAAGAAATTAACAAGGTAACTAAATTTCCTAAAGTATCAATACAAGCTAGAATTATTGAATATTTAATGGAACCCAGCAAGCATTCTAATATGTAAATTCAAAATAGTCTTATAATACAAACCAAAAAGCTTTAATAAACCAATTTACCCATTAAATGTTGTAGGAAAATAACATTTATAAAAATCGAAAGTTGTTGAGCTTGAATACTTGTCCTTATATATGCAATGTTGAATTAAGGGAAAACTACAAGTATTTTAAAGTTATTAACTTCAGAAAAGCAGTTTTTCTCCCAGTCTTTTAATGTGACTATGTGACCTTCCTATGTGAATAAAAGAATGAAAAAAATGACAGAAAACTGAGTTCAGTCATTTAACGAATGTTTACTGATCACCTACTCTGTGCCAGGCACTGTTTGAGGCATTTGGTATACATCAGTTGGAGAAAAAAAAAAAATCCCTGCTGTCATGGAGTTTGCAGGGGAGATAGGCAATACACATAATAATAACTAAACTTAGGTTAGGGAGTGATAAGGGCTATGAAAAACAATGGAGCACTGGAAAGAGTGGGTAGAAAGGGTAATGAGGCTGCAATTTTAAATAGGGATGTCAAAGTAGCATTGAGAAGGTGACATTTAAGCCAACACTTGAAGGAGATAAGGAATTTAATCAAGAGGATATCTGGCCGAAAAACCCTAGGGGGAAAAAGGAACAGCCAGTGCAAAAGGCCACAAGGTCAGAGTGTGCCTTGCAGATTTGAGGAATAGCAAAGCTGGAAAGCAGTAAGCAAGGGTAAGAGAGTATTAGACAGGAATGAAGGTAGACAGGTAACAGGTCATAGGGATACAGGTTCTGTAAAGATTTGGGGTTTTATTCTGGAGTGAATTGAGGTGCCTTTGTACAGTTTTCAGCAGAGGAGTAACATGACTTAACATGATTTAGAAAAATTCGTTGGGCTACTGTGTTGATAATTGACTGTAGGAGGGAAGGGCAGGAACAGAGACCATTTAAGAGGCTACTGCAATCATCTATGCAAGAAACGATGGTGGTTCAGACTAGAGTGTAAGCAATGAAGATGGTGAGAGGGGGTTAAATTCAGGGTATATTTTGAAAACAGAGTCCGTAGGGTTACATGACAGTTTGGATGTGGGTATATGAGAAAGAGGAGGGTCAAGAATGACTGCAGGGTTATTAGGTTGTTTGCATGAGCTATTGGAAGGGATTAGAGTTGCCCTCAGCTGAGATGAGGAAGGCTGCAAGTAGAGCTGGTTTGAGGGTTGGAAGTAGAGGAGGTCAGTTGTGGACATGTTAAATTTGGTACGTCAGACAGGCATTTGGACTGAAGCTGTAAACTTGAAAGTCATTCACATGTGGATGATAGTAAATCTGTGCGCATGAAACTGGACATGCGTTGCCTAGTGACTGGGTGTCAACAAGCCGGGAAGGTAGCTGAAACCTTTACCCATCTCACAGCTTTGCCATGTGCCAGGACTGCTGATAGCCCAGTTCTTCTGACCAATTAAGGACCAAAATCAATTCTCAGAGTTTGGGGGCTAAGTACTGTACTATATGTGGAGTAGCAGGAATTTAATAAATGTTTCTTTTCCTTTTGTGCATTTCCTCATTTAAAGGACAAAGCAGCTTAAATATAAGAGACCTGCATTTGGCCACTTCACTATTGAGTAGTATTGGTTTGGGGAAATTATGAATAAATTACATTCACCTGTTTTACTAGAGAATGACAAGTTACTGGATTACTAAAGCGTAAGGCAAAATACAGGATAGTATTCGGCTGAATGTGATAGCTGAAAAGAAAACAATTCAATGATAAGAACAGAAAAAAACCCACCTGAATTCTCTTAGGTGCTGAGAAACAGCATCACCAGAGAGTCCTGTTCTTTGAGGCACACTGTAATTACTTAGGCATCTCTTCAAAATTCTGTTGTCTGGCTTCTACTCCCAGACCTGCTTTATTTGGTGTGGGATACAGCCTAGGCATCAAGAGTTTTAAAGTCCCTCCAGATAAGTCTGATGTGCAGCAAAGTTTGAGAACTACTGTGATGTACATATGCTATTTTTTTTTCTATTGAAACTATTACTGATAATCAACAGTATTTAAATTTCCTTCTGTAATTTATTTTATTCTTTGCTGGTGTCTAAAATGGAAGCAGCTACGAAGGAAAGGTCCTCGTGAGGGCATTTCGCTAAGTGAAATAAGTTAGAGAAAGGCTGACACCGTAGATCTCACTTATATGTGAAATGTTAGAACAAAAACAAAAAACAACTCACAGAGATTGATGGTTGCCAGAGGTGGGGGTGGCAGGAGGAGTGGAGAGATGGGGGTAGGTGGTTGGGGGAAATGGGAAAAGGGAGTCAAAAGATACAAACTTTGAATTGTAAAATAAATGTCATGGAGATGCGATATACAGCATGGTGACTATAGTTAATACTGTATTGTATACGTGAAAATTGCTAAGAGTAGATCTTAAAAGTTCTCATCACAAGAAAAAAATATCTGTACTTATGTGTGGTGATGGTTGTGAACTAGAAAGAAAAGAAAAGGGAAGGGGAGGGAGCAAGGGAGTGGAGGAGGGGAGGGGAGGGGAGGGAAAGGGGGCAAGTCTTCAACGCAAAGTAGAGTAAACGAGCCCTCTATAAATCATACAAGTGAGAAGTCACTGTCATAATTTGTTGTGGATTCACAGCAGCCATTTACCTGACTGCTTATTTATAACACAAGTGAACCCCAAATTGAAGGAAGCTGTGATGACATACTTGTGTTAGACTTAAATAATAAGAATAAGAAGACTTGAATTCAAATCCCAGCTCTTTAATTTATTATCAGAGTAGTGGTGGGCAATTCATTTAACCTTCCTGAAATTCCAATTTCTTTCTCCCTAACATGAGAAAAAGCAAATCTGTTTTGCATGGTTGTTATCATTGTTTCTGAAAGCTAATGTGTGAAGGTAAATTATAAAGAACGTTATAGAGATATTAAAGAATTATTGTTTGAGATTAACCTTAGCAGTGACATAACATTGTAAAATGTAATAATTTCCTGGATGTGAATAGATTTTTTTCTGTATTTTTTCACTGATTTAAGAATGGATCTCTGCAAACAGTAGGTAATAAATGCTGTTGAACTTAACATTTAGTAGGGGAATTGTTATTTTGTATTTACTTCTTATATTGTGTTTAATATGGGGAAAACATGAACTTATTGTAAAATGACTATAACTCAATAAAAAAAGTTATAAAAAAAATGAACTTAGACTTGGGTTTCAACACAGATGTTGTCACTTATCAAATTTCTGTGAGTAAACACGTTCTAAGAGTCAGGTTTCTTTTCTCTTTATATCCGAGATAATAATATCTACCTCTCAGGGCTGCTGTGTGAAATTCAAGTGTAAAGCACCAGACATAGTTAATGGCACAGAGTTAGCAAGAAATGTTAATTCCTTTCTTCCCTCCAAGAGTATAATAATCTTGGGATAATAATTTTAAACTCTACGTAATAATTATTTCTGAATAGCTAAAAATCCTTAACTGTCATTTTTAATTTGTTGATTTCTTTATCATTTTAAGTGTCCACCTCCCCTCTCAACCCCACCCTCCACGACTGCTTTGAAGTGTGTTTGTTGTGATACATTTTCAAATAATAAAAAAGCCATTGTAACTTTAAGTTTACCTTTTTTTTTTTAACATCAAGTTTACACCATGGATAGCACAAAGGAAAAGAGTGACTGCACAGAGGAGAAGAATGACAGTTACAAAGATGATATTCTGCTTAGGATGGGACTTAATGATAATAAAGCCGGAATGGAAGGATTAGACAAAGAAAAAATTAACAAGATTATAATGGAAGCCACAAAGGTATGTTTCTTGCTTCTTTCAATATTTTAGTAATTTTTAAGCTTTCTGTTGAAAAGAAAACCAGTAAGTTTTAAATATCCTTTTTATTATAATTTTTAATATTTTAATATATAATATTGTTACACTACAATGGGTACAGAATAGTCTCCCTTCTATTCTGTTGTTCTTGCCATCCAGTTTTCTACTTCACAAACTATAACATGCATGCGAAAGCAAAATAACATACATGTTCTTTTTCACCTTTTTTTAACCCCAGTAGGAGAATACCACAATTGTATTTTTTCTTTTTGTTTTAGTTAATATATCTTGGAAGTCTTTCTGTATAAGATATTAAAAATCTTCATTCTTTTTTTATGCCTGCATATGTGGATATACTATAATGTATTGAACCAGTCAGAATCTTTATTAAGGGACATATAAGTCATTTTTCGACTTTAATTTTTTCAAACAATACTATAGTGAATGAACTTATGTTTCATCGGACTTTACATATGTGCAAATGTAATTATAGGAGAGATTCCCAGAAGTGGAATTGTTCCCCCAAATACAGATAGCATGAAAGGATATATGCGTGTGCAATTTTAACGACTTGCCCAGTTGCCCTCCATAGTGGCTGTATCAATTTACATCTCCACTGCCAATGTATGTGAGTGTGTCTTACCATGCTGCAACTGTACCAACAAGTGTGTTACTACACTTTTGGATTTGCCAGTCTATGGTTACATAGTGTAGCATTAATTTGCATTTCTCTTCTGAAAAGTGAGATTGTGTGTCTTTTTTCATATGCTTAAGAGCTATTTGTATTTCCTTTTTCACAAACTGTATCTTCTTACCCTTTGTACAATTTTCCACCAGATTATTGTTTTACCTTTTGACTTTGCTTATGGCAGTTTATCCTGTGCAAAAGTGTTTTGTTTGCTTGAATTAGTTAACTATGTATGGCTTTTTCCAAGACCATAAAAGAATTCTTTAATGGTTTTTTCCTACTACTTTTTTGGTTTTGTTTGTATGTTATGAAATTTTCATGCAGAAAGATGTAAAATTTAAGAGAATAGCCTTATTCTTAAGAAATGCATGCTGATATCCATAGCAACTTACTTTCACATGGGTTAGCCAAAAAAGGCGGGTAGGGAAAGAGAGAGCATGTGTATGTGTGTGTGTGCGCACGTACGAGAAAATGTAGCAGAATGTTAACAACTGGTGAATCTAAGTGAGGACATGTAGGTGTTCATTGTACTACTCTGTGAACTTTTAAAGATTCAAAGATTCCAAAATAAAAAGTTAGGGGGAAGTAATTTTTAAGTATGTAAAATGTAGGTATAATTTTAAAAGTAAAAGGTGAGTAGATGAAATAAACAAATATAATATTTGGAACCTGATTGGGTCCTGGTTTGAAAAAACACATTTGGAACATTCATAGGAATTTGAATATAGAAAGGGTACTAGGTAATATTAAGGAATTATTGTTAATTTTATTGTCTATGAAATGTTATGATTATGTGGGAAAATGGCCTCATTTTCAAAGATGCATGCTAAAATACTTTATTGAATAGCTAAATGTCATTATATCTGTAATTTACTTTAAAACAGTTCACTGAAAAAGTCAATGAAGGGAATTAGGCAAAATGTTAACAATTGTTAAATCTCAGTGATAGTTTTACATATACATATTTATGGTAGCAATCTCTATATTTTTCTGTTTGAGACTTATTTGAAATTTTCATCATAAAATTTTTTTAAAAGGAGAAGAAAAGAATGAAAGCTATGAGCCTAGTTTTCAGGTTAAGAAACAGAATATCTTAAGTTTTCCTGGATGTCCCTATCAGATTTTCCCTCTCTCTTCCTTATGCCCCAGTAACATTTATTAAATAGTCCATCCTTTTCCTACTGATCTGCAGTGCTTTCTCCTGTTCTACTGGATTATTTGTCTGTTCTTGTGCTATAAACATGATCTTAATTACAGTACTTTATAGTAAATCCTGATATCTGATGAAACAAGTTCTCTTTTTTGCTCTTTGTTCTTTTTCAAGAGTATCTTAGGTACTCTTGAATCTTTGCTTTTTTGTTAAAACATATCTTTTATATAACGTATTCTTCTTGTGTGTGGGAGGAGGGGAGAGTTTATCATAAATATCTTTTTTAAATTAAAATTTTCTAGTTGTTGCTGCTGTATAGCAATGCAATTTACTTTTTAAAAATGTTTGTCAGAAATCTTTAAACATACTCAAAAATAGAATAGTAAAGTAAATCCCAGTTAGTCATCACCCAACATCAACAGTTATCAACATTCTTGCAAATATTGTTTCATATATCTCACTAACCTCCTCCTACTAAATTTTGGAAGTAGAGGGTAGAGTATTTTAAAACAAATCCCAATAAATTGGACAAATTTCTAGAAATTTGCAATTTTCCAAAACTGACTTAAGAAAATATAGGAAATCTAAACAGACCTATAACAAGGAAAAAATTAAATTAGTAATTAAACATCTCCCCCTTCAAAAAAAGATCAAATCAAGTTGCCTTCACTGGTGAATTTTATCTGACATTTAAGAAAGAAAGAATACCAATACTCCACAAGCACTTCCAGAAAATAAAGAAGGATCAAACACTTTTCAGCTCATTCCATGAGGCTTGTACCTCCTTGATACTAACGCCAGACTAGCAGAAGATTTTAGATCATTATAAATGTAAAGTCCTCAACAAAATATGAGCAAACTGAATCCAACAACATATTAAAAAGATTATGTACCATGACGAATTAGGATTTATCCTGGCAATGCAAGGTTGGTTTAACATCAGCAAATCAATTAATATAATTTATGTACCACATTAATACAATAAAGGACAAAAAACACATGGTCCTGTCAATAGATGCAGAAAAAGCATATTTGACAAAATCCTATACCCATTCCTGCTAAAAACTTTTAACAAGCTTGAAATAGAAGGGAACCCCTGCAACCTAATAAAGGGCATCTATAAAAACCTATAGTTGTCTTCATACTTTATAGTTGAAGACTCAATACTTTTGCCCCCAAATCAGGAGCAAGGCAAGGATGTCTAATCTCTCCTGTTCTATTCAACATAGTCCTGAACACTTTAGCCAGTGTAGCAGTCTATTAAAAGAAATAAAAGGCACTTACATTAGAAAGGAAGAACTAAAACTATCTGTTCATAGATGATGTGCTCTAATATATAGAAAATCCTAAGGAATTTTGAAGAAGTGCAATGTTTATACCCTGAAATTTACAAAAATTTGTTGAGGGAAGATAAAGAGCTAAAAAGTGGAAACCTTCCAATTCAAGGATGAGAAGATTCAGTATTATGATTTTTGTAGCAAGGCAAAAGGGTAATCTGTTCTGCAAATAATGCTGGGACAGCTGGATATCCACATGCAAAAAAGATGAACATAGACCCTCACCTCACACCATACACCAAACATTAACTCAAAATTGACTGAAGTGTAAGAACTAAAGCAATAAACCTTTTAGAAGATAGGAGGAAAATCTTTGAGATCTTTGGTTAGGCAAATATTCTCTAGATACAACACCAAAATCACAGTCAATTTAAAAAAAAGTTGACAAATAGGACTTAATCACATTTCAAAATGGTTATACTTTCTTTAGGAGGTACTATTTAAAAACACAAAGGTAAGCAACATACTAGGGTAAAATATTTGCAAAACACACATCTGTTGAAGGACCTACATCTGCAATATATTAATTATTCTTACAACTCATTAATAAAAAGACAACCCAATCAAAAAATGAGTAAAGGGTATAAATAAACATTTTGCTAAGGAAGATATAAAAATGGCTCCTAAGCATGTGAAGAGATGTTCAACATCATTAGTCAATGGGGAAATGCAAATTGAAACCATAAGATACCATTCATAGCATTATAGCCTAGAATGGCTATAATAAATAAGACAGACAATAACAAATGTTGGCAAGGATACGGAGAAATTGAAGCCCTCATATAGTGCTGGTTGGATTGTAAAATGGTTCTGCCACTTTGGAAAACAGTCTGGCAGTTCCTAAAAATGTTTAGTGTGGAATTACCATATGATACAGAGATTCTACTCCTAGGTATATATTCAAGGAAAATGAAAACATGTGTCCACACAAAAACGTGTACACAAATGTTCATTGCAGCATTTTTCATAATAGCCCAAAAATAAAAATAATCAAAACGTCCGTCAACCTAATGAATGGATAGATATTATGTTCGGTGATGGGACGATGGGTAATTTTCTAGAAGTAATTTTCTACATTTTCTTAAATGATTAATGTTAAATTTTTAAAATGACTATTGACCTAAAACAAACAGCTTGCCAGCTATTTCTCTGCTAAAAAATGGAGTTTTTTGGGATCAGCTGAGAATTGCAGTTCAACGTTTGTAACCACGGCGAGCCACGTGCAAGTCTGCAACAAGAATGGAGAGAATTTTCTCAGGGAGGGGAAATGGAAGTTGGGAGCAGTAGGGTAAACAGAGTGTATGACTTTTCGTTGGCTGAGATGAGTCATTGCCAGGAAAGAAGAGGAGTCTTTCTTCTTTCTGTTACTTTCTGCTGTCATCAAAGGGCGTGAGAGCTCCCCATTCTGATCCTCTATTTAATTGAGGTTTCTGTTAGTTAATTTATAGTACTTTTTAAGTGTAAGTAAAGGAGATAACTGATGACTCAGCTGACTAAGACCTTGGATATGCCCAGAGATCCTGCCCAGGACACATTGTTCTTTTCTGAGTGCAGATCTGTACTCACCTCGGAGAGTTTGTTCTGTGCTATGGACTGCCTCACAACAATCCTATGATTTAGATAACTATAAATTCATTTTACAGATACGAAGCCTGAGACATAATAAGATTCATTTAGGGTTGCCCAGCAAGTAAGTAATGGAGCTAAGTTTTGAATGCAGTCATTCTGATTCTAGAATCTGTACTCTTAGCCACCAGGTTTGCAGTGATGCATTCCTGTAGACATTTTTTCTTATGCTTTGCTTTGTTTTCCTACATAGGGGTCCAGATTTTATGGAAATGAGCTCAAGAAAGAAAAGCAAGTCAACCAACGAATAGAAAATATGATGCAACAGAAAGCTCAAATTACCAGCCAACAGCTAAGGAAAGCACAAATACAGGTATTAGTTTAATTGCTAAATAAAGTGGAAGCTGGCAGAATAATAATTGATAGTTAAAATGCATCATGGTCAAGTCATAACTGAAAAGAAGGTGAAACGTAAATTTTCATTTCATTGTAAAGCATAAAAATTTAACAAATGCACATACTTTGTTAAATACTATTCTATTCTTTTATTTAAAGACCCTACACGAAGACATTGTCACCTCCATCACACAAAACAGTAAATGGAGCCTTAATAAGGTTAAGTAAATTGCCTAGCTTCATATGACAGGTATTTGGCAGAGCTAGCATTTAGTCCAAAGCTTTTGTTTTTTTTCTTATATACATGCTTTGCAGCTAGAAAAGGCCACAAAATGAATGTGGCATGTTTTCTGCAAAACTGATTTTGCAGAAAAGATTTGAAGGAACATTAATTAAATGTGGGAGTAATTTAAAACATAATTGTGTTTAATAAGACAGAAAGTCATGTAAACAGTAGAAAGCCAAATGCACATGAATTTTTAAAATAAAACACAAGACTTCCGAAAATGTGGGGGCTTTTGGCTTTTCCAGCATCTTTGGGGAGTAAATACTCAATTTCCAGTGGTATTATAAGTTATTTCAGTAGAAAAGTTTGAGAAGACTAACTATATATAAAATAGATAAAAACAAGGACCTACTGTGTAGCACAGGGAGCTATATTCAATATCTTATAATGACATATAATGGAAAAGAATCTGAAAAAGAATATATATGTAGGTGTATACATGTATACATATGTATACATATATATAACTGAATCACTTCTGTGTGCGCCTGAAACTAACACAACTGTGTAAATCAACTATGTTTCAAAAAAAAATTTTTTTTGAGAAGAGCCAAGCTGCAAGGCATCATGTGATAGACTGAGAACTCAAAGCAGCCAAGGTTCTGCTAGTAAAAACTAAAGTTTACTTTTAAAGACAGTTTTACCTTCTATCAAAATCTGATTCAATTTCACAAGGCACTTTAAGCTATAAATAACGATGAAGTTATAATATTAATCTATTGTGGTGCAAAATTCTTCTCGTGATAGAGTTCAGAGATTATAGATTTTGTTTTCTTTATCAAACTATAATGTGTCATTTTTTGGATATATGCTTTCCTTAGAGCACAAGCTAATTTTTTATCTTCTGCGTTAAGTGGTCTGCTATAATGAGAAAAGATGATTTGTCTGTCAAATCATTATTTTTCATGCTTCATAGCAATTCACTGTATGGAGATGCATAATTTATCTACCTTATCTCACCTTGTTTCCAGTTTTTTGTTTTGTATGCAACCTTGTGATGATTGTTCTTATTCATCTATCTTTGCATTCTCATCCTGTTGTGTTCACCAAAGATTGTACCTTTCTACGTTTTCAACATAAGAGCGCTAGTTTCCTCACATATTTGTTTAAAACTAGATTTTATCAGTTTTACCAATCTTTTAGTTTTTGCTGATACAGTCTCCAAAATATTATATCATGGTTATATAATATGCCCTCCTTTGATTATGATGGAGAAAGAATGTCATTCCCCATACAAGTTAGCCATTAATATTTCCTTCTTGTGGGAATATCCTCCTTTATTCTGTTAGGATATAGGCTAAGTAGCTGGCACAGGAGACCCCAAAATGTAATGGTTCAAATAAAATAAGAGTTTATGTCTTTCCCGCATAGTAGATGAAAGTCCCAGCTGGTCTGGTGGTTCTGATCACCACAGCGATTTAGAGACCCAGGTTCTACATTGTGTTGTTACGTCATCCCCTAGTGTTATCCTTAACTGGACTGACAAAACTGGATAACTATCAATCCATATCCTAGCCCCTGGTAAGGAAGAAAAAAACAAGGAAAATATTGAAGCAAGTAATTTGCTATTATTAAACAAGTGAAAAAGAAATTTCACACATTACTTCAGCTCATGTTTAAGTTTCACGGCCACACCTAAATGCAAGAGAAGCTATAAAATATATTCTCTAGCTTGGTGGCCATTTGCCCAGGTAAAAATCTATTACAATGGAAGGAACAGAAAGTGGATTTCCAGGTTTCAACTAGCAGTCCAAAGCAATATTCTTTGCCCATATTTCTAGAGGAGTTTGTATCTTTTTTTTGTTTATAGATCTTATAGATCTTACCATATATTAAAGATTTTTTCTTTGCCATTTGTTGTAAAAATTTTTCTTATATGTTGTTTGTCTTTTAATTTTGCAGGGTTTTTTTTTCTATCCATTTAAAATATTTATGTAGTCAAATTCACCAGTATTAAAGAATTTTTTCTTCTTTGCTTTAGTATTGTGCATAGAAAGTCATTCCTCACAACCAAGCCTGTATGTTCTTTTAGTATTTTTATGGATTATTAATATTCATATCTTTAATCCATCTGGAATTTGTTTTGATATAAAGTATGAAGTTTTTTTTCTTAAATAGGTAGTATTATATTTTCCCTGAATGGAATTATTTTTCCTAAATGGTGGTCTACTTGTCCCAGCACTATTTATTGAATCATGAGTCCTTTCTCCACTGAATTGAAATGAGGCACTTCCATATATTAAATTCTCATTGCACTTGGATTTGTTTCTGGACTCTCTTTTAATCCGTTAAATCTTTTCCCATATCAGTACCATGCAGTTTTATTTATTGAATAATAATAATATAGTTGAACATTCCCCCTCATTATGCTTCTTTAAAACAATTTTTTTTGTCTTTCTCATGCATTCTTTCAAGTAAGTTTAAGCATTATTTCTTCAAGTTAAAAAAGATTCCATTCTGTCCACAGTAACATTGTATTTAAATTGATATTAATTCTTAGGCAGTTTACTTTCTGGAGCTCTTTTTGGCAAGTTTTATTGATCTATAGTCTACAAATATCTTTAATAAAATTTTAAAGATATACATAGGAGTTGTGCGATGTAACAACTTTCTGCTGTTCATACTCTTTTTAAAACTCATATCCTTCAAAATGCTAATAATCTGAAGAAATACAAAATATCGTACAGTGAGTAGCAGAACTTAAGGTTTTGTTACGATTTTAGTTGGCTTTCTATGGGAGGCTCTCAGGCATCTTTTGCAAGCGGAATGGCAGGAAATGTGTTTTGTGTTGATTGTTAAATTGTTTCATTTGTTGAGTTTCCTTTAAAAGAAGTTGTATAAATGGGAGGGGATTGAGGAAATCCTAAAGAGTCTAGAAGGCCTGCAAGAACAGAGAGATTCTCATGGAAAGTGTGTTTCTCTTTTAGAGTCATAATTTTCCAAATAGTAGATTTGGTTATGTGTGATAAGATAGTATGAACTGTTACTAGTTGAAGTGAGGTAAGTTACCTCTGTAGGCATAAACTCCCATGATGTTCCTTCAGAACCTCCCTAAGTATTCCTCACCCTATGCCATCCTCATTAGACTTCTTAAAGGCACAAACATTTTTGTAGCCATCAAAACATCTTGCTATAACATGGGCTCATACGTTAAATAGACAAACATCCATGGTATATTAAATGGCAACTACACAGCACATCAGTGCATTCTGACCACGTGAACAATTAATTTTGAGAACTCAGATGTACTAAGCAAGTTTAAGGTTGAATCAAGAAAGTGAAAAACAGAGTTTCTAAAGTAGTCTCCTAAATATAATCAAAAAGAGGTTTTTTTTCATGTAAATAAGACATAATATGGATATAAAATATACCACTCAAGTTTGATTTGAGCTTATTTCAGTGTTCAAGACTTTTTAAAATCTACTTTAGGGGAATATCATAAAATAATGCAAAGAGCACATTCTTTGGAGTAACCTGGTTTCCAGGTCTAGTTTTAATATATACTGGCTGTATGACTTAGGGCAAATTACATAACCTTACTAAGCTTTAGTTTCACTTGTAAAATGAGAATAATAATTGTTATCTCAATCTGGCCATTAGATGAGTTAACATAAGAGGCATTTTGCATATAATATGACACATATAATATACTCAGTAAATGTCACTTCTACTTTAAAAATTATAGGAGTATCACTGAACCCTTAACATATCCTAGGTAAGTGCATTGCATGGATATCTCTTTTAATTCTTTCAACCTTTTAAGGTTGGTTTAGCTCACTTTACAAATAAGGAAAGTAAGGATGAGAGGGGTTAACTTGCCCACTATCATGTAACTAATAAGTGGCAGACCTACGACCCAAACAAAGCCCTTCTTCTTAACCACTGTGACACACGCTGGCTCTGAACTGCAGCAAGAATGACAAGGTACACGTTAGAGACTCAGATCAGAACTTGAAAACCATTTGGAAGAGAAAAATGGAAGAAAGGAACACATGAATGGGGATTTCAATAGGAGAAACTGGCGGTAAAAATAAAAAGCAGTGGTATGTGTTTGGTAGATGTGGAAGGAAAGGGTTCAGACAAGGGTGACTAATGAGAGATAGCAAAGGAAAGTGGAATGTGTGAGTCATTTAGTGGGGAGGTTTCCTTTTGGCTGAAGTACAAGTAGCTTGCTCTAAGCACAGAAAAGACAATAGTTTGCTGAAGAAACTGTCAAAGTAGCATTTATGTATGAGTCTAAGGAGAGTTTTCTCCCATTTGGTTTGCTGCTTATTTATTATCTTTTTCCTTTTCAGTGTTTTTGGGGTAAGATGTTGCAGATGCTGCTCCTTTATCCTCCATTGACTCATATCTTAGGCACATTTTCTAGATTAATGCAGAGTAATTTTTAATCTACCCTTGCTTTTGTTAGTGCCTGTGATTTGTTTACAACTTTTTTTATGTCAGTATGCTATTCTCTAGTTTAAAACTGAAGTACTGGAAGAAGTAATGGTTTTAACTCTGGATGACAAAGTGGAGTAATGTTTAAAAGTTCCATTTATTAGGTGTGGTGTCTCATTGCATGAGATCAGGTTTCTCCAGAATTCTTCTACAAATAACACTTTCTCTTTTTTAATTAGAAATATATACGTATATATACTCCACTCCCTTTCTCTTTTATGAGGAAAGAATGAATGAATGAATTTATTCATTTATTTTCATGGTTACCATTATTTATTTTCATGGTGAGAACCTTTAAGATTCACTGTCTAGTAACTTTCACATATCAATGCAGTATTGCCAGCTGTAGTCAGCACGCTGTACTTTAGACTCCAGATCTTACTCATCTTTTTTTTTTTAATTGAAGTAGGTCAGTTGACTTTTAGCACTGTATTAGTTCCAGGTGCACAATATAGTGATTCAATATTTTTGTATGTTGCAGAATGATCACTATAAGTCTGTAGTTACCATCTGTCACCATATGAAGTTACTACAGTATCATTCCCCTTGCTGTACATTTCATCCTCAGGACACATTTATTTTATACCTGGAAGTGTGTCCCTCTTACTCTCCCTGCGAGGGAAAAATTTAAAGGCAGAAAGGTCTTTCTCCTGATGGAACTCACAATTTAGAACCTAATACAATAAGTGACATAGTAAGAGCAGGAAAACCAGTAAGGGAACACTAAATTATGTGGTGCAGAGGACAGAGATCCAATTAAGTTACAGAGATGTCTAAGCTGACCTTTGAAGGGTTAGTAACAGAAGTAGGAAGGGCATTCTGGACAGAGGAACATCCTGAAGAAGGCACAGAGCACCCCAGATTGTTCAGTAATTTGCAGCCTGAGCAGGAGTGGACCCTCCAGATTATCATTGTGGCTACTGGACAGAAACAGGAGTCAAGGTGGTGGTTTCTAAAAGAAGAGTTGCAGTCTTAACCTGAAGCTCATGGGCAGCTGGTGTCACTATAATGTTAAGAAGGAAGACCTTGGGGGAAAAAAAATCCTGCAGAATGGAAGCAAAGTTGAAGTCCAGCAAGGGGAAAAAGCTGAATTATACCTCTGGAACTCTCTACCTTTGAGGAAACCTACTCTAGGAATCTCTTCATGGTAGATTTTTCTTTCATTCCAGAAAGAGCTCACCCTACTTCCTCGTTTCTGACTGCCTTTCCCTTAATTTTTTTATTACTTCATTATGCAGTTCTCCCTTTATCCTTTTAGTAATAGATTGCATTTATTGAAGTTGACCATGTGTCAGACACCCTTCCATGCTCTTTATGTATTCCATCTCATTCAACAGCTTTCTTCTCTCTTCTCTTCCTGATTTTACTAAACGGTCTTGCTGATTTCCTTGTGTTACATAGATCAAAATGGTCACAGAGCCACCCCCAGCTGCAGGGGAAGCTAGAAATTTATGTATTTAGCTTTTTCAGCCTCTATAGCAGAGGCCACAAAAAGGAACATGGGAATGGGTATATGAGCTACATAAACCCTTTTCTTACTGAACTACTTTGGTATTTCTTTCATTTGTCTTCTTTCTTATCAATCCAATTCTTTTTCTCTAAAGAAACAAAAAAGTTCTTTAAAGATTAAAATTCTTCACTGTCATATATGACACATATATTGAAATTTCAGGAAAGGCTAAATTACATATTAAATTTTCAATTGTGATTTGAATAGACTAGCAGTTAACAAGTTTTAGCCTTATAAAACAATTCTACTGAGTAAATGTTTACATTATGTTTAGTACAATCAGTTGTATGGTACTACTCAGCATAAACATATGCCAAAGAAGTATAATCTTTTATTGTATATTTCTTTTGTTGCTGTTTTAATCATTAATATTATGAGTCAGATGTGAGTTGTTTATTTTACCTAAACTGAAACTTTTAGTTACAGTAAGTTGTTTTTCAAATTGATGAAGCAATAGAATCATTTGATATAAGCAGTTGGAATGCTTTATTCATTCAATAAATATTTATTAAGTACTGGTTACATGCTTGTGGGTATTGAGAGATGAAGAGTTGGTAAGGAATGATCTTTGAGAACAGACTGCCTATGTTCATGAAAATAAAAAGCAATTAACAGCCTTAATAAGCAAACAACAATAAAATATACGTAGACTGGCATGGGGATGAGTGAGTGGATGCTTGGATGGACATACAGACAAATAGATATCTACTAAAAGTAAGATTAATGCTATGATTAGTGGTGTTTCAATATTATGTTGTCTAAAAATATGTTAACTTTTTAAAAATTAAGGCTGATAGATTTGCAATGGAGTTGGAACAGAGCCGGGATCTGAACAATACCATAGTGCACATTGACATGGATGCTTTCTATGCAGCTGTAGAAATGAGGGACAATCCAGAATTGAAGGACAAACCCATTGCTGTAGGATCAATGAGTATGTTGGTAAGTAGGTAAAGATCAAAGACAAAGAGAAAGTTTCATAACGTATTTCTATTCAAGAAATATGCTCAGTTACTGAATCCTTTCAACATTACTTGAGGTACAATTTTTATTTCCATTTAACAGAGGAGAAAGCAAACTCAGAAAAATGTTTAATAACTTCCCCAAAGTTATAAACCTGGTAAATGGTAAAAAGCATTATACCTTTCTGTTGCAAATTATATTTTTCTTAAGTAACTGTTCTAATTAAACAGAATTGACAAAGAAAGAAAAGGAAATGTTATGCTAAGGCAGAGGTTTGCAAACAATGGCTTGCAGGCCAAATCCAGCCTGCTGCCTTTTTTTGTAAATAAAATTTTATTGGAACACAGTCACACCCATTTGTTTATTATTGTCGTATTAAAAGAGCAGAGTTTAGTAATTGCAGCAGAGACCATATGATCTTCAAAGCCTAAAACATTTGGACCTTTACAGAAAAAGTTTGGCAACACCAATTCTGGAGTAACATGTTTCATAATAATGTAATTAGGTTGTTTTCCCCATGACCTGAAACCTTTGCATTTCTGATTACTATGTTATTTTCCTCATTGCCACCCTCACCATAGAAGGTAAAGGTGACCAGGATACCCATGTGTAGCTTAATATGTGTTGGGAATTAGAAACAGCATTGGAATAGATGGGTTTTGGTATAAAAGAGACAGAAGAGAAACAAGGAAGGTTCTTCCCCGTTCTAACTCCTTCCAGTGCCTTAATTAATTAACCTGATTCCTACTGAGTTGTTATTTCTCTGTATAACCATAATCTCTTCATTATCTCTGCTCCCAGAAGTATGCAGGCAAGTAACAATCCTGGTTCCAGAACAGTATTTATTGAAAGGATACTCCCCTTTCCTACAAATCATCAACTGATATTTGAAAAAAATACTTAATTTTATTAAGAATATATCTCGCCATATATTTATGTGAAATTATATATGTGAACCCCTTTGGTACTTAGTGGGCAACAATATATTTGCTCGTGATTCTGTAGTTTGAGCAGAGAACAGTTGGGAACGGCTCATCTCTTCTCCACTTGGTTTGACTATGGTTACTTGGCTGAGACTGAAGGATCCAAAATGGCTTCACTAACAAGCTTCCAGCCATTAGCTCTCCCCTCTCATGCACATGGTGTGTCATCATTTTGTAATCTAACCCAAGATCTTTACATAGTTGCCAGATCCCAAAAAAGCAAAAGCAGAAGCTGCAGACTCCTTAATGCTTAGGTTTCAGGATTCACATAAGTTCACTCCCTCACATTCTTTTGGTCAAAGTGAGTCACTTGGTATGAGGAACTAGAAGCCACCTTCTGAGGGGAGGAACTGTAAAAGACTGAGGCTGTGATTTACAATCTACCACAAACCTAAACGTTAAAGGAAGTCGTATCTAGAATGTCATTTCTACTTCACTATAGATCTAGCTTTTATGTCAATTCCATTAGATTTATTTATATTTAAAGCCTTGGTTTGTCTTTCCAGTGCTCTCTGCATTTTCTATTCTAGAATATTGACCAAGAATTAGCATAGTTTTGAGTACAATCAAGATTTTTTTAAATGCCATTTGAAAACCATTAATGGCAGAGTTATATTATCATTCTGAAATAATCCTTTTATTTAATAGATTCTGTTTTACATTCCTTTGAATTTTCACTTGAGATTCCATGATTACATTTGTGATTTAAAAAGTTTTTTTAAATAGTACTATGATCTACCGTATTAACCTAGACTATTGTCAGGTATCATCATCAACAAGATTTAGTAAATGATGTTCTCCGTTTTACTCTCACAATAATTTAGTTCCATCTCCTAGTCAAAATGTTTTCACCAGAAAGATATTCAAGCCTTAAGAAACAAAACTTAATTTTTAAAGTTTTTTTAAACTTTAATTACTTCATTTTGAGTCTTAATTTAGCTAACCATATATTAGACCTTTGATTTTTTTCTAGATGAAAAATTTCCAAAATTTCAAATAGAGCAAATTCTAAGTCCATACTATTTGATTGTACTCTTTATACTCTGACTCTTTTGTAACTTCTATACTGTTTGTATTATATTATTCCATAATTATTACTTGACTACTACTGTATTATTGCTTTCATGTAACATCACCCTCTATCACCTAAACTCTTATGTATACTATATTACTGATACGTCTTAAAACTAATGACCTTAGTTACTGGAAATGTAAGAGAACCTTTTTATTAGCACAGCCTTACTTATTGCCTGGTGTCACATTATAGATATGGGACAGCAGTGGGAGAGGGTCATGGTATTATACACCATGATAGGTTAAAGTCAAAGCTTGATTTGAGACAGAGCCTATCCAAAAAAATGTCCATGAATTGAAGATGCACATCGGTAATGTGTTTCTTTTGAAAGCATTGATCAATATGTCCATTTAGGTTTGAATATTTTTTCCTGTGTGGTCCATTTCCTTTCAGACTACTTCGAATTACCATGCAAGAAGGTTTGGTGTTCGTGCAGCCATGCCAGGATTTATTGCTAAAAGACTCTGCCCACAACTTATTATAGTGCCCCCAAACTTTGACAAATACCGAGCCGTGAGTAGAGAGGTAAGTGTCTGATGTCTCACTCCTACTTACAGTCTTTCACTAATGTTCTGTCACCTCTGACGTCAAGTCCAAACATCATAGCACATCAGAATGTGGTCTTAGCTTATTCCTTTTAGTCTCACCTTTTTCCTACCACTTCTACAGCTTGTGTATCAAATACTAAACTGCATATGTGTCTAGAATATACCCTTCTATTTCCCAGTTCTTCTGCTGTTCTACATGTTTTTTTTATCTGCTTAGAAAACTCTTATCCCCCCCAAACTGAGTTCCTTAATTATAACCTGAATTAACTTCAGCTATTTTTTCTTAATGCAATGTACATTTTCTGCTAGAATTGCGCCTTCTATTTATAATCTACAGAATCTATTCAAGTCATTAATTCCAAGCTCTTTTCTGAAAGAATTTTTTAAGTGTTTTTAAACAGTAACAAAATTCACTTATTTTGATTAGCTGCTCTCCTTGCCCTGTCATCTAATAAAGGTACTAATGTACATTTAAAGTCCAGAACACTGCAATCAAAGAAAAAGGGGAATAATCTGTTGCTTTGAAAAGGATCTCTGAAATACAAAGATTTGATTATTCACTAAAATTGCCTCAACTCTCATACATGAAAATCTTCCTTTTCTCTAATTTTGTTAACAACTGGACTACCATGTCAGTGCTAAAACTGAAGCCATAATTGAAATTTTAGTATACAGTATCAAATGTTTTTAGACTGCTGTGGCAAAATGCAGTGTGTTAAAGACTGCCGTCTGAATTGAAACACTTAAAAACTCTGGCCTAGCATGTATTACCATTTAGTCTGGTGAATGGTCTTTAGATTCACTCTTCTTAATTGTATTCTACCTCATTTCCCCTAGAAATGAAACCTCCCCCAAATTAAAATGATACTCCACCTCTAAATTTTTTTGAAGTTTTTTTTTTTTTTAATTCTTTCAAAAACAGTTTATGGAAGCAAGAGCTTTTGTGCCAACCTCTGAAAAGTTGGTGGGGAGAGGGGAGCACATTCACACGGGTTACTGCTTTCTCTTTTACTGTATTCTCAATTAGAGGTAAAATGCTGACCATAAATACTGTAGACTTTTAATAAGTTTGAAAGTACTTCAAAGACTGTGAGTGTTTTTTAAGTTCTACTTTAACTCAGTAGGACGTCTGATGGTATGGCAATGAGAAGAAAATTGTTTTTTGTAGTCTTTATTTACATAACCTAGTGAAATCTTCAAATCTGAGCAGGAACTAGCTGGTTTATTTGCAGATGACAAATGAGTTCTTAAGTGTAAATGAACTATAGCATAAATTCACTGACCATAAATATATTAATATTTATGGCATGGTTTAGAAGTGAGAAAAAGCCATTTTTATTTTATCCAAAAGCATGGAAGATCTGTAACTGTTCTCAAAGCCTAAGTGCTTGCTTTTTGCTGGTATGTGTCTATTTTCGTTCTTAAATCAGTATCCTGCGTAAAGGAACTTAGTGAGTACTCATTGTCTCCAGGGAGCACTTCTCATTCAGAATAATCTTAGTTGGCTGCCAACTACAGACTTTCCAGAGTTTCATTTTGACTAGAAAGATTCCATTTGAGCACATTGTAAAAATAGTTTATAAGAACAAAGCTAATTAAGGTACTCTCTGAGTAAAGCTTGGCCAAGTTTTGTGTCACCATTTTCTAAATTACCTTTGACTCAGCTGTTCATAATTATATTAAGCCATAAACCTTTCTTTTTATACAGTATCAAAAAAAGTTTTTTTGTGATACAGCAGACAGCTTCGAAATATTAGATGGAAACATAATTCAGCAAATACATTTTTCGAGTATGTTATTTTGGCAACTACTTCTTCTAATACTTTTCAGCTCATACTTCAGTGGTTACAAAGAAATTCACAGTTTTATATAATAAAACTGTCTTATATAAAAGGCATTTCTGGATTCATACAGAGATTCTGACCTCTGTACATATTTCTTTTATCTGAAGATGCAATGCCAGACTTGTCCCCATTATTTAATATCATCACAGATTTACACTACAAATTTTATCATCTTTTCCATTCTAAATTCCAATAATTGAATTTTGTTTTCTGAATGGACATATACATTAATGTATGTATTGAGTGGAATTTTATGTGCATATTATAATTAATTGAAGTTGAACTGCTTTCCAAACAACTTAGTACCTTCATGTAAAATTATGCCTTTTTAAAATGAACAAAAACAATCATAAAATGTAAGGGTGAGCAGGATCCTATTGTTCCCTCTTCTGCTTTTGACCTGCTACCCAAAATTACATCGCTTAACCATTTTTTCTCTGCCTTTCAGAATGATGTTGTCTGAGATTTATTTGAATCACTTATTATTTATAGCTGTAGGTGGCTAAATAGAGATTGTATCAAAGGAAGCAATTTCACAGCCTTCTGCCTTCGTGGTCTGTTTTAATACAGAAGAGAATTTGAACAGACTTGCCCTAGCAGTCAGTTATTTATTCTCTAAATCTGTGAGCTGTTGATTACAGGATCCCTACTATAGTTGCAAAGTAAGAGTATTAATGTTTCTTACCAGCTGTAAATGGCAGGTTTTGCTATGGCAGCAAAATTGAAACCATTTTGTTCCTTTTGAAGGTTAAGGAAATACTTGCTGATTATGATCCCAATTTTATGGCTATGAGTCTTGATGAAGCCTACTTGAATATAACAAAGCACTTAGAGGAAAGACAAAATTGGCCTGAAGACAAAAGGAAGTATTTCATCAAAACAGGAAACTCTCTAGAAAATGGTAAGCAATTTATTAGAATGATCAAACTAAAAAGCAAACAAAACACCCTTTGGATTAACCAGTTAGTTTAGCATGCACAGGGGGTAGGAATAGATATACCTTTATTATGAAAAAGTATTAAAAATGAAAAATCAGAAACTTAAAATATACCAGTGGGTTTTCTGAGTTAAATGTGTGAAATGTCACTTTTAAACCAAATGAGATTGTTAAGTCTCTAGATTTTTGGAGTCTGCAGATTCCCTAAACAAAGTAATTTCATGGCAGTTCTTTTCCTAAGATTTAAAGAACAAAAGGATTGGATTGCGTCAAATCTGAGGAAGTTCTCTGTTTAAGGTGGCCTTTTGTTGTAGTAGTTAATAGAAAATAGATTTTTTTCAAAAACTAGCTTGAGATATATCAAAACATTGGGTGGGATTTTTTTCCTTATTTCCCAAGTTTTCTATAATCTGGTTATACAGTGACTATGACTTTTCAACCTTGACAAAATTAATGACTCCCCAAACTCTCTTCTTTGCCTGAGACATTATTTTTGATTCATTTTATATACAATGAAACAGAAGTTTTATGACCCCAAGTTTTTTTTTCAGATGGGCCCCTTATTACCTATTCAAAATGGTGCCAAAAAATGTGCAGATAGTACACATGCTGCTTTCAGTGCTCTGTCAGAGATGTGATTACTTCATATACCAGAGCTGCCCTGGAACCCTGAACAAAGTTCATCTGGATGAAAAGGTGGAAACAGGGCTTGCTCAAAATCCACAGCCACGTTTTATGTGCACAACTCTTCAACTGCTTCAGCGAGTAGACAGTGGTGGGGAAACCTGTTTGTAACTTTGCCTGAAGCAAAAATGGTGGATCCTCATTGGCATAAAATTCTAACTTTCCCATTGTTTGGGCCTCACATCTTTGGAGCAGATTTAATATGGACGTCAAATTCTCATTTTATGACTTTACTTAGAGCTCTAAGGGGTAGTTCTCTCTCTTTAAGAGAAACATTAAACAATCAGCAAACATAATTTCTGGACACAGAGACTTAGAACAGAA